TTTGCTAAATACCGTTTTATTTTATTCACCATTCGTCGCGCGGTGCGTTTATTTCGTGGCACAGCGCTCAAAACGGATTTTTTCCATGCGTGGAAATACAAAATATACTCCTCCAGCGAATTTATTCGGCAAAACGACTTTGCCAATTTTTCTAAACGAGTTTCATTACTCAGTTTTATGTCAAGGCTGAATGGTCGAATGCATGATGGTCGATTCTGAGTCTGAATCAATCAGAACCGTTGATGGAATGATTTCGATATGGCTCATTAAGTACTGAGTTGTCGTATCGAATTTGTCAGTAAATGTTACTTTAAGTGATACAGTTGTTGCTTAATTCCGCTAATTCGTTAATTCGGCTTCAACGGAATGATCTCATCGCGGGCTCACACCCAAAGCCTGGTCACTCCTTGAGGTCAAGGCAATAATAAGCCATAAACCACGAAAAGCAAAAATGATTTTGCTCCGTTTCTAGACCTTACACATTACTCTCTGTCTTTTTTGGACATCATGATTGCAACTTGTGAAGAGACCATTTTTTTATGAAGATTTCTATGATATCGATGCCTTAAACATGAGTGATTGATTGATTGATACTCCTGATGAGGTGATGACCTGGACATGACAGTGGAGCGCTCGTCTGTAAGTTGAGATGGTGGTTGCCGATCAGTCGCAAAAGATGTCTGTCTTTGGAAAATTGAGCACGAGATGCTCCTTTTTATGAACCCGATCGGCTGATAACCATTGAAGAGATATCGGCAATGGTTAACGAAGGCTGGTACTCCGGATGAATTGCGAAACGACTACTCGCAATCAATAAGTAAATAAAACATCAGAAAACAGTTGCTATAAGCTAGATTAGCAAGAACGATTTAATAGAATATCATTCTTTTTTGAAGTACGTTTAAGTAAGCGTTGATTCACGTGTAAAGCTTCTATTTCTTTGTTTTCTAAATTTTTGATATTTATTCCTTGAAACGCTTTGATGAAAGTTCGCTGGGCAGTCCCCTTCTTGAAACTTTCAAGAGAATGTACAATCTTGCCTAATAGTATTAATATTTTACCGCTTTGAGGAGCCCTGGAGCCGCAAATAACTTGAAATGCCGAGGGGCGAATGTGCACGGTGGAAAGAAATAGAAAGGTACAGTTGAGCATCTACGACGGCATTTTATTGACCTCAAGTGGAAATGGAAACTTAGAGAGATGGTCCTAAAGTTTACGTTCAATAAGAAAGACAAGAAGAAGACGAAACGAAGCAACAGCTCCCCTAGAACTTACAATCAGGTTTCCAGCATATAAGTATTTCCGTAAAATGCATTACATAGCTTAATAACAGAGGACCACAATTCGAGGAAGCGTTATACAATTGTCAGTCAGATTCGATGATGGTTAATCTTTTCAGATCGCCGAAGCAGACATGATAGTCTTTGTCTCCAAAGTTCCCGATCTTGTACCAGCCTTTGAGGAGGAGATTATCCGTGTCTGGAGAGAAATCCGTCGAGTCCCATGCTACAGGGGATGCTTGGCAGTCCGCAGAATCCTCAGTTTGTTGGTTAAGCAAGTAATAGCTGTTTCTTCTTCCTTTCTGAAAGCATTCGCAAGACGTGCCCGTATCATAACAGCTGCAACTTCTCACTCTGGAGACGCAACTGCTGTATACAAGGGCTTACTCGAATATGTGAACTCAAGTCTTGAAACGCGTGAGTCCAGTGATTCGTCTCTGAAAGTCCATTGAAGCCACCTGAACCAGGGATCGAGGATTGTCACTCATGGCTCACGAGTTATGACAATGAGTGGCGAGAGGGATGAAA